GGCTCTTGAAAGACAAGAAAAAAATCTCAGCATCTCTCCGCAGCTCCAATCCTTCCTCTCACACTCTGGCTGGGTGGCAAATGCCACTCTCATCCCAGGAAATTTCTCATGTAGCAGGATGCAAACGAGACTTTCAGAAATTTTTCTGGGGAAAAAAAAACCCCAAACACAACAAAAAACCCAGAAATCTCTGCAATCTGATGGTTGCCAAAACCCACCTCTGCCAAGGCAGCGCAGACTCAAGTGAGACCCTGCTTCATCCCCCTGCTCCAGCTCAGCCCAGAGCACAGCTCCGCATCCTCTGCGCAAAACCACACCGGTCAAACACATGAGAAACGCAGTCGTGGCCAAGTCTGGAATTGAGGAAAGGTGCTAGTGGCCCAGGTGGGCTCAGCGGGGATGGGCTGTGGGTACCAGACGCAGCCCCGGGGCAGGGGAAGGTGAGGAGCAGCGCTGGAAGTGGAGGTTTGCGAGGTTTGGTCCCTCAGCGCTCCGCAGTGCAAGGGACAGCGGAGGACATCGTGCTCAAGGCAGCGTGATGCTAAAGGCACTGCGCTGCAGCCGGGCTGCCTCCGGTCCTTCGCTCAGCCACCGGTGCCAGCAGGTCACCACGGGGCATCAGGGACAGCTGAGCGGAGGCCAAAGTCCTTCCTAAATAAACCACCGAACCAGCCAGCTTGAGGCGTGGATACCTGCTGACGGCAACCACACAAAGCACCCAGGCAGACACACCTCCCGCAGGTCCCAGCCCTCCCGATTCCCTTCGGAGATGCTCTTTCCTTTATTCCACCGTGTTCTTGGTGCTAACAGCCGTCTGGGTACAGAAGCTACAGTGAGATGGACAACACCGGCTGAGCTTTGCGCACTGAGCATCACCTCTGTGATCTACATGTTCGCCATCCTCCATCTATCCGGCGGCGAGCAGTGGACGGGGGGCAGCTACAGCCCTTCCCACCAGAGCTCCCGGCTCGCCGGCGCGACGAGCCGCTCCCAGCGCACCGTTCTGAGATGGAATAGATGTATGGCTGTGTGCGTATAGAAAACCTGGGCGCCTGCCAAAGTGAGAAACAGGGAACAGGCTGCCCCCACGCTCAATAAGCAGTAATTGAACAATTACTCAAAGGAGGAAGGTTGTGGGTTTCAACAAGGTTGTACCGGCTCAGCGCCGGCAAGCGTGCAAGGAAACAGCTTCAAAACCGCAGGGGGCTGCACGGCTCTGGGATGGCATCTCCTGTCCCCCTGCATCCCCCCACCCCGTGCACCGGGCAGCCGTGTGGGGACACAATAGGGCCTCTGCAAAATCTGCCGCCTGGTTTTTTCTTCACTGCCTCTTCTGCAAGCTCCGGGCTCGGCCGGTCGCCCGCGGTGGCCGGGGCGGTGGTGCTCGCAGGGCAGCGGCAGCGTGCTGCGCTGTGTCCCTCACTGGCCCGGGAGGCGCGTGGGTTCACCCCTCCTGCGGAGAAGCCGGGCAGGACCGAAGCCGCGCTGCAAGCCGAACGCAGCTGGACACCCGGTCACCCTCTCACCAAGCCGTCCAGCACCGCCAGCGCCGCGGCCGGCAGCTTTCCCCCATGAATAGCTCAGCTTCTCCATGGGGTCAGCAAACAGCCCCGAGCATCTCTCGCTGCAGCAGCTCCTAGCATGTTTTTAAACAAGAAAGCACAAAGCAACCAGAGAGGGACCAGGAGCTGGGGCATCGCTTGCAGATGGGCAGAGCCCCCCCAGCCAACGCTGCGGACCCGCGGAGGGATGGGGAGAGGGGAGACCTGCCCCAGGGCGAAGGGCTGGACCAGAAGGGCAGGGTCCAGTGCCCGGGAGGCACAGGAGAGCACTTGGGAGAGCGCACGGTCCAAAAGGCCCAATATTGCAAACAGGGGATAGCTGCCCGTTTGCTACAAATCACTCTTGTCCCCCATCCTTTAGGACGTGCAATATTGAAGTCACTGAAGTTTGTTCTGCAGAGTCCCAGCCAATCCTCATGAATTGTGGCTCCGGTGCTGAGCACATCCCACATCAGCCTCTCGCAGGCACCATCGCAGCCACCGCGGCACCAAACGATGAGTCCCACACCAACAGACACGCTGCACTAGGAACCACAATGCTGTGGCACACATTTGCCCCAGGATGGGCTCAAGAACTTGTTTCTTCAAGATTTCATGCATTTACCATGAGAATAAATCAGAAAAAAAGCATCTTCTGTTTTATTACGGAGTGTGATTTTTGCCCAAGGAAAAGGAGCGATATTGCCAACTCCTCTGCAGCAAATTAAACACAGCTGGATGCAGGTAATGTCATCCTGGCTCCAGCAGTAACCTGCAATTTTATTGTTGGGGGGGTGAAAAGCAATCCGCTTCTGGAAAAACTCTGCCGTGGACCAAGGTTGGCTTCACAAGCCAGTCCTCGCGGCCAGTCATCTTGCGCCACGAGGTGAACGATGCCCTGAACCCTTCCGCACAAGCACTCCTGTGTCGGTGGGACAAGGGCAGGGCAGGAGGCACCGCGCTGAGGACACACCACCTCTGCCGAGCCGGGGGTGCCAGCCCTGACACACGCTGCAGGAAAGGCTTCATGTATCTGTAGTGATAAAAAAGAAATCTCCCGCCGGACTTCTTTTTCCCGTTTTTTTCATTAGGGAAGACACTACAATGAAAATGAGACTTTTATGTTGCAAGAGTTCAATTCCTCATTCCCCAAAGACAGATATAATCTCTCTCCAACTGTATTTAGCAGCTGCGGAGCTCATTTTCAGGCACCAAACAAAGCACTGGAGGCAGCGGGGAAGCACTCGGGGGTTGGAGTTGAAGAGCTCTCCATGCAAGTGCCCTCAGCACCAAAGAGCAAGGGGCAGTGATGCACAGCGGGGCCGGCAGCATGGCACAGACCTGGCAGCACCTCAAACTCACAAAACCACAAGTTGAGCTCTGGGGTGAAGCGGGACACGCTGCTCCATCCCAGGGCTGCTCCGGTGCCTGCCCAGGCTGGGAGCCCCGGCACAGAGCTGTTCCCGGGGACAGCACTGCTCTGGGGATCAGCACATGTGTGTGCCGTGGGGAGGTTTAGTACCTTCATAAGTGATCTGGAAGATGGGATCAAGTGCACCCTGACCAAGTTTGCTGGTGACACCAAATTGAATGGGGAGGTGGACACTTCAGAAGGGAGAGCCACCCGGTAGGAAGACCTGGACAGGCTGGAAGAGTGGGCTAGTAAGAACCTTATGAGGTTCAACAAGGACAAGTGTAAGGTCTTGCACCTGGGAAAACATAATCCAGGAGTGCAGCACAGACTGGGATCTACCCGGCTGGGGAGCAGCTCGGTGGAATAGGACCTGGGGGTGCTGGTAGACAACAAGCTCGATATGAGTGAACAGTGTGCTGCTGCAGCAGCAAAGAAAGCCAACAGGATCCTGGGTTGCATCAACCAGGGCATCACCAGCAGAGACAAAGAAGGCATTATCCCGCTGTACTCCACGGTTGTCAGGCCACACCTGGAATATCGTGTTCAGTTTTGGTCCCCGCTATCCAAGAGAGATGTGGACAGGCTGGAGAGGGTCCAGGGAAGGGCCACAAAGATGATGAAAGGACTGGGAAGCCGTCTGAGGAAAGGCTGAGAGAACTGGGTTTGTTCAGCCTCGAGAAAAGAAGGCTTAAGGGAGACTTTAGCACCACGTTCCAGTATTTAAAGGGTGGCTACAAAGAAGATGGACACTCCCTTTTTACAAGGGGTAACACAAGTTCCCCCTGGGGAGATTCTGATTGGACACAAGAGGAAATTTTTTCACACTGAGAACAATCAGTCATTGGAATAATCTCCCCGGGGAAGTGGTGGATTCCCCATCATTGGACACTTTGACGATTCAGCTGGACAGAGTGCCAGGCCATCTTGTCTAGACTGTGCTTTGCCAAGGAAGGCTGGACCAGATGACCCTTGACGTCCCTTCTCACCTGGTATTCTATGATTCTATGAGAAGGTGGCACAAGGCGAGCACGGCCCAGAGGTGCCAGGGGAGCACCAGGGGGTTCTGTGCCATGCCTACGCACAACCCTACTGACTACAAGCCGGGGAGCGGACCCTGCCCCACAGCCTGTTCCCGAAGGTGGGTGCTGAGCCAGGCCGGAGCCCCTGCCAGCAGTGCTGTGCTACGTGGGGGCCTGATCCAGGCCTCTCCCCGCAGGGGCAGCGGGCTCTCACTCGGCACTGTCTGAGGACACGCATCCCCAGCCATGGGCCCGGGGCAAGGACACGCTCATGCCCCAAGTCACCTTCCCACTGCATCTCCCATCCAAGGTCTCGGCAGCCTCGCAGATGCACGGAGTAGCCCCAGCCCCGGCCCCACTCTGCTCGCAGCCGGGCAGTGGCACCACTCGCTCTTAATAAAATAATAATATTAATAAAGATTAAAACTCAGAAAGAGAAGAAGCAACGGAACAACATGCTGCGTTTTGTTTGGCTTATTTGTTTTGCAACATTGGAGATTGACACTCATGAGTCTGCTCCTGTAATTGCTTCTGCTGATGAATCTGGATTGTTTAATTAGAGTCTGCGCATGGAGCTCATTGCTAATGGGTAATCATCAATTTGCTGCCAAGGATATCACTTCTTCTCCAAGAAACTTGTCTGTCTCTGAGCACAGATAGTCCTCCCCATGGTGGGAACCATTGCTCTTTCAGAAGGGTTTGCTGGTCCCATGCACAAGTCCTTGGTGCCAAGAGCAGGAAAGGACCAACCTCGTGCTTATCAGCTCCCTTAAAAGCAGAATAACCCATCACTAATTTAAAGTCTAGACTGACCACTGCTCTTGGCAGCTGGCACTGCCCTAAATATGAGGCTCACGAGACACCATGCACACATGCACTGCACGAACACCCCAAATTTCAAGGGGTTTTGCTCTCTGGAGAGCATGGTTTGCTTCTCCCTGGTGGCAGGGTGATGGTCCCCGGGGCCAGTGGTGCCATGGCCGCCCTCGCCCCCTCCCCGCAGGGAAATGCATGCGGTGCACTTACTGTGAGAAGGAGGAATCCACGCTGAAGTCCTCGGCGTGAGGCCTACAGAGCGAGAGCATCACAGGAGGTGAGGGAAACGTACAGCTGCCGGGCAGAAACCGGCACGACAGCCGGAGTCAAGTGATGGGGAATGCCAGCGCCGGAGGGACAAATGGCTGCCCAAGGGCTTGTCCAGGGGTTGCACGATGCCTGGGATGTGTCCCTGCTGAGGTCCCCAGAGTGGGGACACTGGGGACCTGGTGATGCTCTGGTGGCTTTGCCAGTGTACGGCCTCTTTAAGGACTCAGCTCCACAGATTAAAAACATTTTTCATGCTTTTTTTTTTTTTTTTTTTTTTTTAAATGAGTCTTGCAAACTGCATTTGCTGCTCTGTCTCAAATCAGCGTCACCCTCTCTGCAGAGAAATTAGATTTTGAAAGACGCTGGTCGGGGTAGTTTTAGGAACCTGACATTGCGTTTCTCCTACGCACACCTTCACAGAGTTGATTTTACAGACACAGGTGATGACCACAGAAAGGAAAACAAAATAACATAAAAGAACAGAAAGGAATGATGAGAGTCACGCAGTGGGGTCATGGAAGAGGGAGAAAGAACACAGAGATGTCCGGGAGCGGGCGGGAGGCGAAGGGACCGTGCTCATGTACTGTACATCCCGCAGACACGCAGCCAGCAGCACAGCGCTAGGAAACAAAGCCATTGCAGCGGTGAAGAAAAAAAATTCCCTTTGCAAAACCAACACTCTCTTCAAGACATATCCATCCCCGTGGATGGCCACAGGTCCCCATCACCTCAGCCGGAGCCTTTCCCTGCCACCCAGTGTCCAGCATTGCCCTCTTTCCTGTCCTTATTTAGCGTGAGTCTGGGCAATTTGGAAATATAACCAAAGCAAAGGGGGCACTTGCAGCTCATAAAGGTTTTTCTTTTCTTTTCCTTTGTGCTTTATGAGTCCACAGGACTCCAGCATAGTTTGAACTAAATAAAAGCAATAAATTCACATTTCAATTAAAATGTGAGTCCAAAGGAAAGCTAATTCATCCCCCAGCTACAAGGCACACAGAGCAGCTTCCCTGCGACATGACTTAGTTTGCTACTACTCTTATTACCCGTGTGAAGGCTGCAGGGAGCAGCTCATCGCCCCGGAGCCGAAACGCCTGCAGAGCGCCGGCTGCGCCGACCGGAGCCACCGTCCCAGGTGACACCGACAGTGATGTCCGCCCACGTCAGACCCAGGAGACCCGCGGGAGATGCTCAGCTTGGGGGAGATGCTCAACCTGGGGGAGATGCTGGGGGCCTTGAAGGGAGGGAGCCGGGGGAGGTGGTGCGGCGGCTGAGGAGGTGCTCTGTCTAAACAAGAGGGTCCCATGCAGCCCCGCTTCCCCCCGAGCCGGGTGGTGGTGAGCCCTTCCCGGGAATATGCTGGGGGACCCGCAGGGCAGGAGATGCCGGGGGGTCCCACCGCTGCTCTGCAGGTTCAGCCCTGGCCGAGCCTTTGCCACCGCTCCTGGCCTCCGTGGAGCCCACGGGGACTCCCACGGGCAGCCCCGCACCCCCAGCCTGGGTTTGTGCCCTGGGGCTGCACATCCAGCCTTGCCTGCAAACAGAATCATAGAATCGGTGAGGTTGGAAGGGACCTTTAAGTTCATCAAGTCCAACCATTAACCTAAGCTGACAAAACCATTTCTAAACCATGTCCCCGAGTACCACTTCTACCCTTTTTTTAAACACCTCCAGGGATGGCGAATCCACCCCCTCCCCGGGCAGCCTCTTCCAGTGTTTGATAACCCTTTCAGTGAAAATTTTTTTTCCTAATATCCAACCTAAACCTTGGCTGGCATAACTTGAAGCCATTTCCTCTCATCCTATCACTTGTCACCAGGGAGAAGAGCTCAGCCCCCACCTCTCTACCCCCTCCTTTCAGGGAGTTGTAGAGAGTGAGAAGGTGTCCCCTCAGCCTCCTCTTCTCCACGCTCAACACCCCCACTTCCCCAAGTCGTTCCTCATAAGACGTGTCCTCCAGACCCCTCACAGCTCTGTAGCCCTTCTCTGGACACGCTCCAACACCTCAATGTCCTTCTTGTAGTGAGGGGCCCAAAACTGAACACAGCGCTCAAGGTGGGGTCTCACCAGTGCCGAGTACAGGGGGACGATCACTTCCCCAGTCCTACTGGCCACACTGCTCCTGATACAGGCCTGGATGCCGTTGGCCTTCTAATAACCTGCTTGGAAAAAGAAAGCTGTGGCCGTGCCCCCTTCCCCCCTTGCCTTGCTAATTTTTGGCTTGCTGGTGCGACCCTGACGGAGCAGTAAGTCGGTTCACCCCCGCTGGCCGCTCGTGCCGTCTCTCCCGGCCATCACGAGCCCCGGGGTGGGTCTATCAGCTCCGCCGTCCCTCGGCGCAGCCCTGGCATCTATTAATGACAAACAACCCAGACTTTCTCCAGCTGCAAACCAGAGGCAAGCGCAGCCCCGGGAAGGAGCCCAGCCGGCTCAGCCTCCCTCCTGCCAAATTGGATTATCCCACATTAGCAGCAGGGGCTGTTCAAGCCCCTCCACTCGTGTTTGGTTTTGCACAGGAGCCTCTTATGCCTTGCAGGGACATTTATGGGAAAGAAACAGCAAATGATTTGGTTTTCTCCTAATATACTGCCAGCTGGCAACTGGGAAGACTGTACGAACCGGGGCTCGTTTCAGCCGCAGCTCCTCAAGGCAGAAGAACGTTCCTGAAAAGCCAAACAGCAATGGCACATATAATCACACAGCTTGGTGGGGTCCTGCAGACCCCCAAGGTCTGGTGTCACCATGGATCCCGGAGCACCGGGATGAGCTGGCACAATTCCCAAGACACCTTCCCCAGGCAGGCAAGCTCACAAGAAGGCACCACGAATAAAAGGGACTCCAAAGCGATGGACAGACCATAAATCCCACCAGCTGTGGCTTTGCCCACTCTGGGCTGTGGTTATAGCACGTGCAATAAAACAGTAACAAAAAGGTGCCTTTGGCTTCCAAATGAATGAACTCCTTCACACCAATCACAGGGGAAAGAAGCGACACTGGGATGTCACACTGAAACCTCTCCTTCCCACCAGGCACCCCAATTCTCATAACTAGTCTAAATGCTGAGAAAATATGGAAACAATTTTAAGAAAACTAAAAGTCACTCCAATTCTTGTTTGAAAAACAGTTGTTTTCCAGACCCCCAAAACTTTTAAAAAGTTTCAGCTTGGAGAGTTTGGTTTATTGTGGAAAAGCCAAATTTTCTGCAGGGAGAAGAAAGGACGGGCAGACCCACGGGATGCCCAGCGCTGCCCCGTGGCCAAGCCGGTCCCGCTCCCCCCCCAAAGCTCTCTGCCAGGCACCAGCCCAAACCTGGGTTTCGTGCCCGACTGCAGGCAGCGGGAGAGCCCAGCACCGCACCGGCACGAGCGGAGCTGCTAACCCAGCACCAGAGGGGCTGCGCAAGCATCCCCCCCTTGCTGCTCCTCACAAACTGCCCCCCAGCCACCGCCGACTCGTCTGCAGTGGCACTTTTCTGACATTTAACCCGGGTTAACTGCTAGAGGGGATTGGCAGAGCGGCAGAAACCCTTTTGTGCACAGTGTCCTCTGAAAGGAAAGAGTAGATTTACAATATACAGAATAAAGCCATTTCACTGAGTCACAAAGGTTACACCAGCTTTTAATGTGTTTGAGATAATCTACTTTAAATTCACCTTTTTGCTTCATCCAGATCAGCCTCCCTGAGTACCCCCGTGCAGACAAACCTTGACTCATCCCATTCCGACCGTGGAAGATAACTGCGACACCGGCAGCGAGCCCGACCGTCACTCCCCTGCAGCGCCCAGCGACCGGGACGGAAGTGCCGTACCCGGGCAGGGAAAGCCGAGACCCCTCGTCCTGCCACCGCCAACCATCAAACCCCGACGCCGGGCTCCCGGCTGGGGCGAGCAGCATCTCCCAGAGAGAGGGGCAGAGCAGGGAAGGATGAGAAAAAGGAGAGGAGTAGAGGGGGAAGAAACTTTGCTGCTCCAGAGACAGCTCTGCCGTCGCATTTCAAGCTGCAGCCCCTTACAAAATGGAAGGGCTTTATTACAACGTGACGAGACAATGGCGTATTTATTATTAGAACAAAAGCCACTAATAAACCTTGCTTATGTACAAGAGAGAGCAACCACCTGCCCACCCACGCTGTGCAGCAGCTCCTCGGCTGAGCCGCCACCTTTTCACCCCATCCTCCTCCTCGGCTCCGGCTCCGCACACCCCGAAAGGCAGCTCTGCTCCCCCGAGCTGGGCAGGGATGCGGGCAGCACCCCCCAGCCCCGCTCCCCCGGGGATTCGGGCTGCAGGACCCATCCTCTCCACTCCGGAATGGGGAAGGCAGCCGCCCCCCAGCCCCAGCTCTCCTCCCGGCTCTGCCAGGGCGCTGCGGGATGGGGGTGGCATTTAGCTCGTCCGTCTCATGCAGATAATTTGAGGTTAAATACTTTCCCTGTATTTAAAGTGCTCGGAGATGCTCAGATGGAGGAGAGAGCAGCAAAGCACGGCGGTAGCTCGGCTGAGCTCACACAGAGATCTGCTCCCTCCCAGCAAACTCCCTGCCAGCTCTGCGCCTTTGCCGCTGCCTCCTGATTTTTCTGGGAGGTATTTTGGTAAATGAAGGGTATTAAAAATTCGCTTTTGGTCCTGCAGCTCCTGTTACTTTCATAGTAAAAAAAAAATAAAAAATCCTGCCTTGACTAAAAGCCCCTGGAAGTTACAAAGACACAAGTAATGACCTGCCAACACCACGCTCAGCTTCAGGCTGCTTAATAACCACTTGCAAGGCTCAGAGGCGTTTCGAGACCAGGGGCTAAAGGGCACTAAATCTGATGGCTCTCTCCTCCGCCTCTGAGGCTCTGTCTTGAAACGCCTCCAAAACAGGGGCAAGGCAGGGGGGTTAAGATGAACCAAGCAAGGTAACTGCTTGGGAAGGCTTCCCGAAGCCGTGTTCATCCTCTAAGACATGAGATGCACCACGGTTCCTACCATATTGACAGTGAGAAACTC